GAATGTAAATGAAACTTGAGAAAGACAGCAGGATATTACATAAAAGATAAAAATTAGATTAAAATATATATTTCTTAATTTTTCTCCAAAATAGCCGAACTCACGGTCTAATAAGAGCGTCTAGTTCAAAATATCCAAACTCTCTTGAGACTAAAATAAACTTGACCTAAAAGGTCATGTAATTAATACCAGCAATGAACGTTTAAAGTAGTCCTTGCTTTCACTGATAAAATCAAACGTTGGTATGTAGATTATGTGATGCTAAGTGAACGTTGACCTCTCAGGCCCAAAAGTAAATGATACCATAAAATCATAAACTCGCCTTTTTGTTATTGATAAAAAATGTTTCTTCTTGTTCTAATTTGAAATCTTTGCCCACACAGGACTGCCTAACGCTAGAAAGGCCATTGATTTAGTTTCGTAAGCATACTACTCGAAGCACCAAGCGATCTGCACATGCGCGTACTTATGATACCTAGACTGATGCATTCCGATGAGATCACAGATACCACATTTGTAAACGAATATTTTTTTTGTCATATAAAAGCGCAAGTAGCATACAATATTTACTAACGTTATTCGTACATCAATACGTTTGAGCTTCCGGTCATGTAATAACACAGCCAACCCAATAGTTAATTATTAAATTCTTAACTTCCGGTGGTGCAAACGCGACATGACACACAGATAGATTGGCTAAAAGGTAATTTTAAAGTCGGACCTTTCAATACTGTTTTGGGATATTATTGTTTAAACAATTTTTTTGATATTTTTTTTTCTAGTTAGAGTATAAACTTTGACGTTAAACAGAATGAAATAAAGGTTATTACATTTAATATTACTTTGTAGACATCTTGTTCTCCAAACCCTTGCCAAAATGGTGGACAATGCACCGTGAAAGATGGAGGAACTAACTACACCTGTACATGTGCGGTTGGTCACACTGGAAGAGATTGTGAGAAAAGTAAGTGAAAAAGAGTTCCTACCTATTTATGAAAGACTAGTTGCATTATTTCGATATACTGTTACAAGGTATTTTAGCGTACTGATACGACTTGTAAGCTTGTGGGATTTACTCGGGAGAGCAAGTACTTGGATCAGAATAGGTTTAATAGACACCAACCAGAGATTTCTTACAACTTGCTTGCTGCTTCTAACTCGTCTAAGCTATGCAAAATGTGAATCTGCCTATATAGTAAATATCTTACAAGCTAGAATGACAGCGAATTGGCAGGCTAGGTTGTAATATGATTGGATAAGATATRCGTTTGACATACTTAAGATTGAATTACTAATGAGGTGTCCAGCCGAGAATGGGACGAAAATGCTATGCCCCAAGATACTTTTATGTGCAATTAAAAGATGAAATCAAGACAGAAGATATCTCTAATAGAGAACTAACTTTCTATCAAGTTAAATTAAAGATATATGTAGAATAACAAAGCTACAAGGCTTTAAACTAGCGAAGGGCTTCAGGTGTGTGCCTTGACGCGTAGGAGGGGTTTAGTTAAAATGGGTGTATCTTTTAGCAACAATAAGACATGTGGAAATATCCCAGTAAATGAAAGGGGAATTCACATAGGTGCCTTGTAGTCTCGTTATACAATTAAATTTGGTTCATGATTCTGAAGCTTCATTGAATATTTGAATTAATGATACAGATTAGGAAGAAGTGAAAGCTAAACATGCAGTCACAAACGACTACTGAAAATAAGATATTAATATAGACGTACGAATGTTATTTAATAAATGTTGTCTTATAACAATACTATTATGATATGAGGAAGTAGCTGATCCCATTAAAGAGTGCTCAATACACATATAGTGTAGAGCTAGGTATTCGCACTCATCAGACAGCATTTTATACTTTTTAGTAATTTAAAAATACTGTCTGATTGAATACTGCCTGATTAAATACTGTCTGATGAGTGCGTAAGCATGAAACACGGAGCCACTTCAAATCTTGCCTCTTCGTTATTATATATATATCTATTTACTATTATAATATTATTTCTAAGTTTCGGATGATTTAAAACACTATTAAGACCTATTAATATTGTTAAAAATGTCCATAACAAACTCATAGGCTTCTGAGCTCACTGTGACGAAAGTGCTAGATCGTCTGTCAAATGTCTACCGCTCCCCTAATTAATTTTCCACGCCACTCGAAAGTTGTTGTATTTCCAAGTATTTTCTTAGGGCTAATTATTAAAAACTTTTACTTTGAATATTTTGTAGAATGCGTTCTCTTTGACTTTGAAAGTGGGCGACTTGACGGCTGGAACCTGACAGGAACAGCATTCAACAATCAGCCAACCTACGGCGATAACACGCTAGCTCGAGGAGGTCCTTCTGCAAATCTTAAAGGAATACTGAACGACTAGAGCTGCTGATTGGTGGATCTGTTGTTGCCAAGGCAACGTCGACACAAAATGGCCATGCTATGACAATGAAAAGCTTTGACGTAACAGCAAATAAAGGAAAAGTGGCTAGGGTACGATTGGTTGACATGTCATCCGGATCGTGGGGCATTATCAATGTTGATCAAATTGAAGACAGCTACTGCACAGAATAAACTCGTAACTACAGCTACTGGAATATTATCCGCCTATTATACCCAATTTGCACCTTGTTTTTAACTTCTGGTAGTTCAAAATTATTGCTTCATATTACGGCCAATTAATTATTGCTGAAAATCCACGCCCTTATTGCGGACAAAGCAATCGTTGTACCAGCTACACAGTAACTGAAATAGTCTCAAATTCTTATCGTTTGTATAATTTATGAAGCATCGCCTTTTATTACATTTTTGGGAAAAAATCTGACTATAGCTTAATAGCTGAAAATAGCTTAATAATTGTGACAGAAAATAGTTGAATCACTCAAAAATGGTCAAAACATAAACGTTGATAAATGTTGAAATCATGATATTGATAATTTTAGACCTCGAGGTCGAGTGGACTACGAGCTAATAGCCCATGAGGCCGAGTCCGCGAGGCCGAATGGGCTATTAGCTCGTAGTCCACGAGGCCGAGAGTTCTAATTGTTTTAGTATAAACATACTAATCGGTCAAATAATGAAAACAAATTGAAATATCCTTAAAATAATTTATAATTTATTTATTTTGATTTTCCCGCGAGTGGTCTATCACAAATTAGACCATTAGTAGAGTAGCCAATCACAGCGCAGTATGAGTGATTGACCATTAGTATGTTTATACTAACATTGTATAGACTTGGCTTATGAAAATAGTAGATTCAGTGGCAATCGTTGACTTTATAAGTTACATAACGACCATTTTTGTTTTTGACCAGTACTAGCTCATATGCAGCAAAAGAACTTGAAACTAATAAGAAAAAGACTAGTCAAACTTGCAAAGTAAGAACCGGCCTGAACAGGTCTATACACCAAATGCAATACTGTGCTTGTTACTTTTTACATCATTTTTATACTAGTTCTCCCACGTGCATTGCTGAACTTTTTATGAACTTGGCAACTCTTATATTAGGCTAGATAAAGGATAAATCTGATGTCCTGAACATTTACATAGCAGAACACGAAACAGCTCCTTCCTAAACCTCTTCATTAATCTGTAAGAGTCGATAATCGTATTGATGAATGAATTAGAGACAACCACAACGTATGAAAACGCTAAAACGTGTCAATTGTCAAATCGAGTCGTGTTTGTCATATTAAGTGTGGCATATATCAACAATGGTGCCTAGGTGAGCGACGAGGAAACAGTGGCCAACAACAGTGTTATTGTCATATTTCGCTTACGCACCACAGCCGTTCGGTTCTTAATTTAACTTTCATGAAGATGACTGAATAGCAAACGAGAATGTATACAAGAACTTGGAATTGAAAAGGTCTTAGTAAAAACGAAACTAGTTTTCCTTAACCTAATCTTGTGCTCAGCTTCTGTACGTCGAAGGATGGATAAAAGTATTTTGGCATCTTCTAAAATGAAGTTTAGAAACTCCTTTAAGGTCCAAGTACAACAAATATCAAGAAAAATGAACTAAAAATCAGAAAAAAGAATATTTTTTGACAAAAAAGCTGAAAAATGCTATGGCGTCTATTCTTCTTGTTGTCATCTTCGGGTTGCACGAGACAATAGTAAAAATAAACAATAAAAAAAATACAATAAAAATAAGGAAAGAAGGTATATTTAGGTTTTGATAAAAAAGAAAAAAAATGCTATGATTCTATGGGAGACCCTACTATGAAATGCGTATTATATTGTTCTTGTTTAATTTACTCTGCAAGGGGTTTATAAACAATGAAAAACTAATTGTATAACTTCGAGAGTTGGACTTTCACAAGTCGTGAATTTTGTCTGGTTTAGTCGTAATAGCGATGAAAAAAAAGAAAATACGTATTCATTCTGGTTATATTAGTTGATTAGGCGTTTAAACCAATATGTACGAAATGATTTCCAGCGACTATAGATTGATAAACCTCTGTAGTTTTAATCAAGTTACATTATTATTCTAAAATACAATTGCCTGTTAAAATGTTTAGCCTTAAAATGCACCTGCTTATCATTTAAACCTGATTTAGTTCAGGATGTCCCTCGGAAGGGTTTTCTTCTTTCTTGCGTGTTATAATCTTTTTAAAACTACTCATTCTGTGTCTAATGGTAACAACAAGGGAAAACTTATCGTTCGAAACTTTGACATAAGCGCAGAAGGAAAGTTTTTTTTCTAAACCCGACAGTCTTTTGTCCGACCAAACTACCAAGAGCACTAAAGAATGCTGCTTCAAGTGCGTACAAAACAAGGAATGCTTGTCGGTGAATACCATTGCTTTGGATCAATCGCGATGTCAATGTGAGCTTCTTAACTGGTCAGGAACCGGATTTGACAACCATCTCGTACCAAAACCAAACTCAAGGTTTATGCAGATGCAGGTGAGAAAGATGTCGATAATTCAGCGCCGTAGACAGAGGAACAGAAAACTCGATAAAGTTTTACCGAGGAAAGTGCCTCGCTTGCCTGATCGTAGCTACGGCGCTGTAATTACTTTTTAAAAAAATTTCGAAGTCGGGGCGGGAATAAAAAAAATTAGTTTTATTCATGTGTTTTTCGTTGAAATTGATACCCTGTTCCAGAGTAAAATCGCTGAAAACGATACCTTGGTTGGCGGCAACTCCCCGTATAGCAAATATTTACTTATACTCTTTAGAGAAAACATCACTTAATTATGGCTTTCATGCATAATACTCCCAAGGAATTGAATAAAATCAGATAAATTATATGTAGCCTTTTTCTCCATTATATAAGTTTTACACTGATATACAATTTGTCTATATTCATTTATAATCAAAGCGTTGGGATTTTGTTTTCGGAGGCACCCCGCGAAGTCGAACAGTAACCTTAAAATAAAACCCTTTTCAATACTGTTTTGGGATATTATTGTTTAAACATTTTTTTATATGATTTTTCCAGTCAAAGTATAAACTTGAACTTTAACCGAATTGAAATAAAGCTGATTACATTCAATATTACTTTGTAGACATCGTGCTCACCCAACCTTTGCCAAAATGGCGGACAATGTACCGTGAAAGATGGAGGAACAAACTACACCTGTGCTTGTGTTGGTCACACTGGAAGAAATTGTGAGATCAATATGGTAGGTATAGTATCCAAAATATTCCATTATTTATGTCAGTTACGCTCTAATTAATTAATGTAATCTTGCCATCTCTAGTGTGATCCAAATCCTTGTCAAAATGGCGGACAATGCACCGTGAAAGATGGAGGAACTAACTACACCTGTACTTGYGTTGGGCACAAGGGAAGAAATTGTGAGGAAATTAGTAAGTGAAAAAGCGCTCCTACCTACGTATGGAAGAATAGTTGAATTATTTCTATTTATTACTATGTATCATTTCTAAACACTGTGTAGTCTCAAATGATTTAAGCCACTATTATTAATATTGATAAGAATTCTCTATGATAAACTCATGGGCTTCTGAGTTCGCCATGGCGAAAGTGCTAGATTGTCTTCTAAATGTCTGCCGCTCCCCTAATATCTACCACGCCACTCGAAAGCTGTTGGATTTCCAAGTGTTTGCTTAGGGTTTAAAAAGAGCTTTAAAAAAACTTTTGCTTTGAATATTTTGTAGAATGCGTTCTCTTTGACTTTGAAAGTGGGCGACTTGACAGCTGGAGCCTGACAGGAACAGCATTCAACAATCAGCCAACCTATGGGGATAACCCGCTAGCTCGAGGAAAGCTTTCTACTAATTTGAAAGGAAAATGGTTTGTTGGGACGTGTGAAGATAGACCCAGTCCTTCTCATCCAGTAGCCGGAAGACAAGGAGATGGGCCTACAGGCACAGCCACCTCACCACCATTTGTAATTCGAGGAACAAAGCTAAGGTTCCTGATTGGTGGAGGCTCTGACATAAATACTGAACGACTAGAACTGCTGATTGGTGGATCTGTTGTTGCCAAGGCAACGTCGACACAAAGAGACCATCCAATGACAATGAAAAGCTTTGACGTAACAGCATATAAAGGAAAAGTGGCTAGGGTACGATTGGTTGACATGTCATCCGGATCGTGGGGCATTATCAATGTTGATCAAATTGAAGACAGCTACTGCTCAGAATAAACTTTATTCTGTTTTCTTTTTCTTTGTTTCCTTTTTTTTTCTCTTTTTCTCTTCTTCTTCTTCTTCTTCTTGTTTTTTATTTTCCTTCTTTTTTATCCTCTCGTGACTTTTCTTTCCTCTTCTGTCATTATTTTCTTCTTTGTTTGTCTTCTTCGTTACTTTTCAATCGTCTGCCCAGAGCGTTCTCCTGGTGTTTCGCTATTGTCTGCAAGTCTCGTATACCTGCACCGTAAAAACTCCCAGGTTGAGCATAGCTTAACAATTGTGACGATAATAGAAATTATTTGAATCAGTCAAAAATGGTCAAAACAATGGAGGGTCTCAATGGGGGGGTCCGTATCACGACTCACGGCTAAAAATTTGACTTTTTCACGCCTCACGGCTAATTTTTTTCTCATTTTCACGACTCACGGCTAATTTTTCAGCCGTTTCACAGCTAATTTTTCTCATTTTTACGATTCACGGCTAATTTTTTAGCCGTTTCACGGCTCACGGTTAACCCCATTGAGACCCTCACAATGAACTTTTGGAAGTTTTTACTTGCACTTGCAACTTTTGCGCGAATTTATTGCAAATTGACAAAAAAGTCGTGCAATTTTCCGCAGTCCGGAAGGAATGGTAAATTTTAAGCGAAAATCGCAGCGAATTTGGAAGTAAATTTCAAGCATGTTCGAAACTGAGACAATGACGCGAAGATCGCTGCGACAATCGCTATTAGTTTACAACTACGATTTGAGGCGTGCAAAAGCAAAGAAGCGATTCTCGCACGACAATAGCGCTGTAATAATTGCAATTGTAAACGAGATTTTCAATGTCTAAATAACTTTAATGACATTGTATAGTTATTAAAATGGAATATTTGGCACAAATAGGATTTTTATTTTTTWAATGCCTATATTTATGGGTTTTATCCGAGTATTATATGCTTTCTTGTTGTCATTACCTAATCAGCATCAGTCCTAGATGTTTATTGTCTAAGACGTCTAAGACCAGGTGGCATTCCTATATATGGGTTATTGGCATATATCAATCACGTGACCGGTCRTTGGTACAGTCTTGACAATATGTATTAATCGTGTCAATTTTGCACTTTGTACATTCATATATATTTTAGTGATTTTACATTCACTAGTGCAGTGATTTTACATTCTTATAAGAATATATTCCAACTTGTAATCATACTGCACATGGGGTAGGAATAGGGCGTAGCCGAGTTATTACCAATTTCACTGCTGTCCGATCTCATTCTGGCACAGCTAGCCAACCTGATTTCTCAAAAAGCTCTCCTCCTTCTCTTGCCTGTCCTCTATTATTTAAGGCCTTTACTGATTTTAGCTGTTGCAATCATTTTAGTTGAAAATGAGTTGTGTTAATTATTAAACATGGCTTTGAGGGTTATTCCCTCATAGCCATTAACTCCATTCTGTCTCTTTCCGGTAAGTGTGTGTCAAACCATACACGTCTGTTGCAATAAAACACGTCTGTTGCAATAAATCAATGGATCTTATACTTATTTAAAGAAATCATGTCGGTGATAACGGCGAACGGCGATTGTCAAGCGGCGATTGGATGACCATGGGACTAAGGCTGCCCTGTTTAACTCACAAAATTTWAATTACAAAATAACAACTTCTTGAAAGAGAGAAACAGGTGTTACGAGATATTTTGGGAACTTGTAAGCTGTGGGACTTCTCAGATAGAGCCGGTACTTGAATCAAGATACTTTTAATGATTGGCTCCAAAATGATGTTTACACGCTGAGCATAGCTACCAACAACTAACYTGYACAAGATGTCAATCTACCTTTATAGTGGATATCTTACAAAGTAGGATGACAGCAAATTGGCAGGCTGCATTGCAGTATGATTGGATGGAAAATAACTTGACGTAATAAKATTTGATTTACTAATGAGATGTTCAGCCGAGGCTGAGGGAGAAAAGGCTATGCCCCGAGATAGTTTTAGGTTAAATTTAAACTAAGGTAAAAGATAGCTCTAATAGAGAACTAACTTTCTATCAGTTCTATTATAAAGATAGTCAAAATGAACAATGCTACAAGGCTTTGAACTAACGAAGGTCGTTAGGGGTGCGCCTTGAGACACAAGGGTACAGGGGAGGAGCCGACCCGAAAGCGGTGCAAAACCAAGGTGCCTTGTAGTCTCGTTATACTGTCAAACTTGTAGTCCTTATCCGACAGCTAAATGGAACATTCGAAATTAATAGAAAAGATTAGATAAAAGTAAAGCCAAAGAGTCACAAGGTGCAACTAGATTTAGTCGAGGCACACAACTCCAAACTAGACAAAATAGAAAACCTATCAAAATAGTAACCTAAGTTATATCCGAGACAAATGTATTGGAATCCTAAGAGACCCAAAACAGCTAGGAGAAACGTGATATGTACGAAACAGATGTCATATTTCATGTAAAAATATAATGTCAAAATAAGTATCTGTTCTATTAGAGCAAAACGGCTCAAGTGGAGTTTGACGGTAACCTGGTAACGAGCTTACTAGAAAACTAATTCATAAATATAGATCCGATAATCTCATAACAAAGGTATTTTATAGATAATTACGTAATAATTAACAATTATTCGCCGAAGGCGAAGTGATTATCAATGAATATTTACCGAGCGGCGATTCCGATTCCGAAAAAAATGTATCGAGTAAAATGTAAACAAACCAGGCGAAAACCAACAAATTTCAGACTGTTTGACGTAAAACGATACTATAAAAAAGTAGTTTTAGACAAGGTTTTTATTATTAAATAAACAAAACTTACCTATAAAAAGTTTTAATCCAATTTTTTTAATCCAATTGTTTAATCCAACCACTCGCGGACGACGCCATTTTGCGAAAAAATCCAATATTCACCTATAGGTGAACATCGCTCATTGAAGCGTCAAATTCGACCAATCAGCGCGCTAGAATTATGATATTCACTTATGAAATTATRCTAAATCCAATTATTATGGTTATTTCAGCTCTTTAAAAACTTGTTATCTCCAATTATTATTTGCTAGTTTCAACCAGAGAGTTTGTATTTGTAATTATAAAGCAAAACGTTTGACAAGTGATCCTGGCCATGCTGATTCCCCGTGGCCCTGGTTTATTCTGTGCAATAACTGTCCTCGATGTGGTCAACATTGATGACACCCCAATGACCTGTTCCCTGATCAACAAGTCGCATTTGAGCTGTTTGGCCTTTCAGAGAAGACACATCGAACTCCTTTTTTTCCAATGTATTGATTTGATTTGTCGCCGTCGCCCTGGCAACTACAGACCCTCCAATCAGAAGCTCGATTCTTTCGGTATTGATGTCATTGCCACCTCCAATCAGAAACCTTATTTTCTTTCCCCRGATTACAAATGGCGGCGAGGTTGCCGTACCAGTAGGCTCATTCCCTTGCTGTTGTACTGGATGAGAAGGACTGGTTCTTAACTCATATGTTCCTATGTACCAGTCTCCTTTGGGGTTTGATGCTGAGTCGCCTCGTGCAAGTGAATTATCACCATAGGTTGGCTGATTGTTGAATGCTGTTCCTGTMAGGGTCCATCCGTCAAGTCKTCCMGATTCAAAGTCAAATAGTAGGCATTCTACAAATAATTTGTTGCTGATCAGCTAAAATAGTGGCATCAGTCAACTGTCTTTAGAATTTAGTCTCAATTAATGTTTTTGTCATGGTTTCTTTAAACAGTCAACAGTCATTAGTACTAAAATGATGTTTTTCTTACTTAATTTGTTTTCACAGTTCTTTCCAGTATGATTACTACATGTACAGGTGTAGTTTGTTCCTCCATCTTTCACCGTACATAGTCCGCCATTTTGACAAGGGTTTGATGAACACACGGTCTGAAACATAACAGAACAACATTTCTAAACTATAATGAAGAGCAGGACGAGTAGATGCCGAGCCATCGACTTGATCTGTATCACTATTCAAATTGATGAMATTGATGCCGTTCTAAAACTAAGACTCTTTTGTAAGCAGATGCTCGTTTCTCCTAAAGGAATGTTTCGAAATGCATCAATTAATTCGCAAAGGAAATGGTGTCTGAATAGTT